TTTAAACTATCTTTTATATCCTTCACTCTTCTTTCTTTGAGCTTGTCTAATTATGGTTTATGATAACTGATTTTAATATTGTTTGACAAAGCTTAAAAAGTAACATGTTTAGCAATAAATTTTCATTTTGCAAATTTAAAAATTTATTGTTTAGCCAAAAATAAAATAAAAATTTGTTGAAAGGAATTTAAAAATTGAACAATAATTGGTACACCTTTCAATTTTATACACTCCACAACACACTCATTAAAAAATTATTAATTAAAATTTGAATTCAAAGTGTGCTGGGATTTTCTAGACTATATGATGCAACGAATGGGCTTTCACGAGACTTGGAGGTGTTGGATTTGAGAGTGCCTAGTAACTATAGATGTCCCAATTTTGGTAAATGGAAATGCAACAAAACGTTTTCAAATGAGTAAGGGCTTAAGGCAAGGTGACCCTCTATCACATTCGTATTTCTAACAACCACTGAAGGGCTTAATGATATCATCTTTTCTGTTGTGGCTCAAGGGCCTTTTCAAATGCTTAGAGGTGGGTTCAAATGGGATGTACGTATATATCACATTTGCAACTTGTAGATGACATAATTCTCTTTGGAAAAGCAATTAAGGAAAATGCGTAGGTGACAAAATGTATCATGAGAATCTTTGAGGTAGTGTCAGGGCACAAAATCAACTATGGAAAAAGTTAGTTATTAAGAGTCTGTGGAGGAGGAGGAGAACTAGCAAATGAGAATGGCGCTTATGTTGAATTGTAAACAAAGAGTTTTGTTGTTCAGGCACCTTCGAGTCCAAATTTATGGCAATCTGAGGAAGATGATTATGTGGAAACCCCTTATTGAAGCTTTTAAGAAGAAGCTACTAGGTTGGAAAGGTAGGTGTCTATCCTTTGGTGGTCGGATTATACTCCTTAATTCTATGCTATCAAGTTTACTCGTGTTCCTTGTGACAATTTACTTGTTACCCAAAGGTGTGATAAATATTCTTGACAAAATTAGAAAGGATTTCTTATGGGTTGGGCTTGAGAAGAGGAATAAGATTAGGTGGGTTAAATGGGACATAGTTTCTAAAAGAAAGGAGGAAGGAGGTTTGGGAGTAAAGGATCTTAGAACTTTCAATTTTGCTCTAATGGGGAAGTGGTGGGTAGACTAGCAACTAATAAGTGACGTATGTTATGAAGGGTTTTGGAGGAAAAATATAAGAGCATTAGGCACAATTGGGTGCCCTGGGTTA